ATTTGGTTTCGACATTTTATTAATTACTTGAAACTAGGGTTTAGTACTTAAAACGCATATTTTTAAATGCATTCTCAAACATAAATTAAATTTTTCACCCTAAACCCCTAACTGTTTAAAAGTTTTTAGATGTAGGTACTATAGAACAATAGTTCACGTTATTTAGTTTGTCAAAAAAACTAGATGCGACGGCTTATCTAACTTGACTAAAATAATATCTGGAGTTTATTTTTTTTACTTAATTTAATATTTAGTCCATTGGTTTAATATAACCATACATCAATAGGGCGTCGGAAAGGCTTCTAATTGCTTATCGCTAGCTGTACATGATGGCGTCCAAAAAGGCTAACATTATTTCTAAACGTAAAAAATTTTGAAACCTAATTTCGGGAACGTTTTAGAAATAATGCTGCTAGTAGTCAAATAAAGAAAAAATACATATATGACAATTTTTAAAAATATATAATTATAAGGGTTTTAGAATTTTATTTTTGCCTATTAGTATATATTAGTATATAAATTTGATAAGCCTATTTTAATTTTTTAATGAACGTTGATAGTTATAATACAAATTATAGTGGTTGTTATGGAACTAACAAACATTTTGAGACACACTAAAATCATTATTTAAAACTGGATCTAATCAAATAAAACTAAAGAAAAAGTTGTAACACAAAAATACACTCATTATAATTATTGAAATATAGAAACATTGAAATTTTATTTGTTATACATTACTTTAAACCGTTAAAAATGGACTCCATAAAGATAAGAAATAGTTAAAATCAATTTAAAACAGATTAATTTAAAAGTTAAGAACCTATTTATATAATTTAATAATAATAGAGTAACTTATTTTATTTATTAATATTAGAAATAAAAAACAAAAAAAAATCTTTAAAAATATACAAAGGTTAAAAAATATATATAAAATAATACAAAATATTATATACTCGTATATGTACATTATATAGTTTTATTGTTTTAAATGCCTAATATATTTTTTAAAGCAATAAGGTATTTTTTAATATTAATCTATTATTAATCGATTTTTTTGCCATAAATTAGTCGTTTAAATGGAAAAACTAGTCCACTGAAACAAATTTAAACTTTTTACAAAATAATTATTATTCTATGTTTCCCCCACTTTTATTTTAATACACATAATTTAGGTTATTTATCTGTTCGTTTAACGCTAATTTCGTGTTTTTTCTAAAAATAATACAATAGGTACATATATTTTGTGTATAAAGGTCCCAATTTAGAACACAAAAATACATTATTGTGTTATTCAGAAAATAAGACGAAATTGACGTTAAACAAAAAAATTAAAAAATGGTTAAAGAAAGCCTTTTCTGAATTAGACCTAATTATATCTCTTTTTAAAGGAAAATTGAAATCGGCCAAAATATTTTGCTGGCTTTCAAAACCGCCGAGATAAAATAATCGAGATTTCCATGCTTAGCCTCGAAAGCGGACACCCTGTATATGTATGTATTTTAGAAAATAACACGAATTTAGCGTTAAACTGGCAGATATAAAACCTTTATTATTTGTATTCTTAAAGTGGGACTTTTGGGTGAGGAGCATTATGCTACGATTTTATACTATGATAGTACCTAAAATGTATATGTTACTAAAGTAACATTGGAAATTGCAAAATTGGTAATAAATAGATAAAATTATACCAGTAGTTTTAGTTACTAAAGGTTTGCCATGTTTAAAAAACTTGCCTCGTAATTCTAAAAGTAGGTACTTGTCAGAAACAAATTTTTTATACCCCCTATGCGCTGTTTCAGAACACCCTTTATAACTTCTAAAAACATTTATAAACCACAGCAGTTCTCGATACCGAAATGTCCAATTCTTTTAACCGTGAAATTCGTATTTCCGCTTACGTGGGCCCAATATTAGTGATTGGTGAGTGGGTGAGATACAACTGGCAAAAACAATGACCAAGATCATCTTCAAAAGGCGTACAAAATCCAATTAATACGATTTTTGCAAATTTGAATTTAGGTCTCATAATTATTTACGATAATGGGAGGATATCAAGGTTAAATATGCATTCTATTTACGTATTGTAATTAATTAATGGTTTATTGGATATTTATGTTTATATTTCGTTATATAATTGAAGATAAATAAAAAAATAACTGAGACGTCCTCGTGTATTTTTCTATTAAATTATTTAAGTAGGAGGAATACCTATCCATAAATATATTAAAACCACCTTTGTTATACTAATTTAAATACGGAAAAAGAATAAAATAAATAAAACATTTATTTCAAAGAAGAACCTGCTTTAATATATAAGGTTAATTAATAACAAATATGTTTGCATACATTTTGTATGGCTTAGTACCTATATTAATTTTATACACCCTTAGATCCTAATACGTATTTAAATCCAGTATATCAATTATATGATTATATATCAGCGTATTAAATTTTGTACGGTTTTGGATTATAAAGGTGTTTTGTTTAGAGATATAGAACTTTTTTTAAATAAAACACAGAAAAATGAATAAAATTACCAATATTTTGGCTTTGGCTAATATTTCCTGAAGGAAATAAAGATTTTATTATTATTGTTATTATTATTACTGCAATGTACTTGGCCACTTCGCAAACATAAGGAATCGCGTCATATTACAGCAAAAAGTTTGCCCTTCCCTATCTCCCAAGACCGAGACTGTGTAAGTGGATTGAATTGTGTGAGCATTTTTTTATCTAAAAATGGTTGGTGGGCGCTACTTTTAAAAAATATTACCTAAATTTTATAGTTTGACGAGTGGAATAACGTTATTCCGAATTCAATATTGTAGGGATTCTAATAATGATGCGTTTCCAGAGATTTTTAGATAAAGAACTAAAAAGCAGAAAATTTAATAATAAATATAAACTAAAAAAAAACAGCTTTAACTTAAGCCATAATAATGCTGAATTATTTGTTTAAAAGTTTCACTATTTTATTTATTTTTTAAAAATTAACAATTGTAGCCAATAAAGGCACCAAACTAAATCTTCTGGAGTCTTTTAAAATTAAAAAACTAAAGAAAAAATCGAATATTGTTCTAAATGATCAAATTGAAACCAACTCTGCTTTGCTAAATTTAATTTAAAATGTATACCACTAGTACTAAAAATAATATTTATTATCCAAATCCATACTTTTTCCAAAATTGTGCCCTCAGTTATAATGTTTATATAACACGTATTTTTTAAATGCCTGCATTAGCTAATATAAATACCTCCACTTAATAAAAATTGGTACTTATTCTGAAGAAGCTACCGTGTAGCGAAACAAATGTTAATTAAAAAAAAACAAATAAAATAGTGAAACTCTAAAACAGTGTTGTTTTTATTCTTGTTTTGAAAAAGATTTTTATTTATTTTTTTAGCCTGTTCAAAATACAGAATCTAAATACTAAGGCTGGAAATTTTTTAGTTTTAGAAATTCGAATACTCGTTTAAAAATTATTTCGAATATTTGAATTATTCGAATATTCGAGTATTCGAAAATTCGAGTATTCGAATATTCGTGTAACTACTTGTATATTCGAAAACATATTGGAATATTCAAATAATATAATTTTTAAATATTCGAATATTAAAATATTTACCAGGTCCAGTAAATTTTGACTAGTTTTAGAGAGTCTTGAGCCAGATTTAATAAAAACTTTTTATAATATTTAATATTGTATCTGTTTTTTTCTAATTAAACAGATTATAATAATAATAATTATTATAAAAAGTTACTATTAAATCCCTAGGCTATACATTTTTTTCCATTCTCCTATGAAATAATATTAGTTTATCATGCTTAAAAAGCTCTCTTAATGGTAATAATTTTGAAAATTCAAAAAATGGTTAAACATTTTGACTTGGACTTTGGACTTGGTCAAAATTCTAACATTTTTTTGCTTGCCACGGTAAATTTTTGTAATAAGTTCTTAAAATGTCAGCTAAAGCAAAATCTACTTACACCCTAGATAATATCTAATGGCTAGAAATTCTAAATTAAAATTGCACGTGAAAGCCGCGGGCTGCCTTAATTTTGTCTACGAATACATATTAATGAGTAACTTATAATTACCCATTACTTTTTGCTAGTTTCCAAAACAAATCGACTATATCGATTTTTGCATATTTTTTAAAATTTGTGAGCGACCTTTAAAAATTTATTTTTTAAGCTAAAACTAAAACTCATTAACTTTTTTGTACATAAATTTACTATAGCGAAAAAAATAATATTATAAATTCGAATTTGATTATTTTTGGAATTTTTAAAATTCAAAAGTCACCTAATTTTTGATGAGAGCTATTAATTTTTTTTAATAAAAATGAGAAATTAACATATTCGAAAAAAAGTTTTTTTTGTGCCACTCTTACATATACTCATTTAAAGTGAACAAGTATTTAGTTGCATTTTCGAATATTCGAATATTCGAATGTTCGATTATTTGAATAATTTATAATCGATTTCCACCTTTATTCGAATACTCGAATATTCGAATTATTCGTAATCGATTCCCAGCCTTACTAAATACACTCTTGAGATATTTATATTTTAGGTATCTTAATTTGCATTTAGGTGCAAATAAGAAATTTCGGATACACAAATTGGTTTTTCGTATACATTTTTCATTTAATCTACGCATTAAACATAATTTGTATTTTCATTATTTTTAGCAAATATAAAAAACAGATATTATGGGACAGTGCAGTTTTTCATATGTTTTCTATTAAAATAGAAAAATATTATTTCTTTTTAAAATTTAAAACTGCGAGAATTTATAATTTAAATAGAACTTTATCCATATTATTTAAATGTTACAGTATAAATACGAATTTGCCGTGATTACTAAATTTCATATAATAGCTTATTTGGGTAAAAAAGTGATATATATTTACCAATAACAAATAAATATTTAGTAGTTTCGCTAGTTTAAAAATAAAATTTATACTACAGCCCGTATCGTTAATTTAAGTACGGATTAAAGAGAAATATTTATCCCTTTTCTTACCTCATCACAGCCTTCGCATCTGGGTTTCATTTTCTCTGCGTAGTGCCTCTCGCAGTAGATGTTGTCGTCGTAGACGCAGTAGGCCAGGTCGACGAGAAGATCGTCGCAATGTACGCACTTAAAGCAGCCAGGGTGCCACAAGGACTTGCCCAGCCGGGGCGCCGTCACGCTAATCTGCTGCGTCTGGATGGTCTTTTGACAGGTGGTGCACGTGCTGTTCGGCGGTGCCGGTTTGGCCACCCCAACGTCTAGAGCCACTTGGTTTCTGCCCGATACGAAATCCTAAAAAATATGAAATTTTTAGTGATGAAGAACTAATATTAGCAAGCTTTTTGATAAAAAAAATAGACGTTATGGTACAGTATGCCCCCGTATTAAGATACAAAGCCGATATTTTTATTATCCAGAAAAAATATATTTATAATTTCTCAGAAAATAATTTTTCCTACTATCCAAAACCCCAAATACCCTAAAACCAAAACTGTATAACCGTTCTTACAAAAATTTTGTTTATATTAAAAATAATAACATATTTGTATTAAGATTGTAAAATTAAATTAGATTTACCTGATAACTATCAGTATATTCAGGTTCGACATGCTTACAAGCAGAGAGAGCTAAGTCCTGTTTTGGTAATTGTCTCACTATCCTTTGGCTTCTAGATATTTCTCCTTTTGATCCTAGTTTTGGTACTTCATGTGAAGGTAGTGTTGAATAATATTGCTCCACCTTAACAAAAATAATACTATTAGTAGCATTTATATAATAAAATGATAGCAAAAAAACTAGAAACATTTTCGTTTGTTTTTTTAAATTAAGAAATGTATAGGCAAACTCTTAATTAAATCTAATTTAAATTGGACGGCGAAGACAAGTTAATAAAATTAAGCCCTAACCTTTCCATACACACAAACTTTGTTTAACATTTAAAACTTAAATTAAAGTATATGTTGTTTTAATTAGAGGTATGCCTTAAATAAGTTATAATGTTTATTTACGTTTTATATATTTATAAAAACAATTTTGTTCACTCTCAAATATATTAAAATTTACAAAAATGGTGCATGCGCGGGGATTAATTGAACTTTGCTTCATCAATAAAAGTATATTACTATACGAGATATATTGCAGGCTATTAAATAATGCGCATAATCTCGAGTGTAATACTATACTTTATCTATTTAGCGTTCATAATGACTTCATTATAACACCGCTTTCGGCGCTTCAATGAGATACTTTATCCCACCCAAAATTTTGATTTTATAGGTTGGCTATACTTTAAACAGCATAATATTTTGCATATTGGTTATAATACCAAAATACCAAAATTTTGATTTTATAGGTTGGCTATACTTTAAACAGCATAATATTTTGCATATTGGTTATAATAGGTATTTTTATGATTTTTATAGTACTTAAGAGACTTTTCTGGCAATAAATTTTGTTTAACACCAAAGAAAATCCTTTTTTTCTTCTTTAACATTAACAGCCGTTTATTGTAAATATGTAAGTAAATTAAGGACGGCATGGCGAATCGATTTTGACATTAACTGTCAAACCAATGACTGTAATAACAACTATCTAAAGTAAAATTCTACCTAATTAAATTTAAGGTATAAAATTAATTTTTTTTATATAATTTTTGCAAAATAGATAAAATAGCATAAAGAACTCATTTCATAATACCTTTTGTCGCACTCGTCCATTATATTTATATATTATATAAATTGTCCGCGTGCGACAAAATGACGCCTTATGACGAAATAAGTAGATAATTAAATGATTTAAAAAATAATTAAATAAAATAATCGAGATTTCCATGCTTAGCCTCGAAAGCGGACACCCTGTATATGTATGTATTTTAGAAAATAACACGAATTTAGCGTTAAACTAGCAGATATAAAACCTTTATTATTTGTATTCTTAAAGTGGGACTTTTGGGTGAGGAGCATTATGCTACGATTTTATACTATGATAGTACCTAAAATGTATATGTTACTAAAGTAACATTGGAAATTGCAAATGCAAAATTGGTAATAAATAGATAAAATTATACCAGTAGTTTTAGTTACTAAAGGTTTGCCATGTTTAAAAAACTTGCCTCGTAATTCTAAAAGTAGGTACTTGTCAGAAACAAATTTTTTATACCCCCTATGCGCTGTTTCAGAACACCCTTTATAACTTCTAAAAACATTTATAAACCACAGCAGTTCTCGATACCGAAATGTCCAATTCTTTTAACCGTGAAATTCGTATCCAACTCCACTCTCAAATATATTAAAATTTACAAAAATGGTGAATTCGCGGGGATTAATTGAACTTTGCTTCATCAATAATAGTATATTACTATACTAGATATATTGCAGGCTATTAAATAATGCGCATAATCTGGAGTGTAATACTATACTTTATCAATTTTGCATTCATAATGACTTCATTATAACACCGGTTTCGGTGCTTCAATGAGATACTTTATCCCACCCAAAATTTTGATTTTATAGGTTGGCTATACTTTAAACAGCATAATATTTTGCATATTGGTTATAATAGGTATTTTTATGATTTTTCTAGTACTTAAGAGACTTTTCTGGCAATAAATTTTGTTTAACACCAAAGAAAATCCTTTTTTTCTTCTTTAACATTAACAGCCGCTTATTGTAAATATGTAAGTAAATTAAGGACGGCATGGCGAATCGATTTTGACATTAACTGTCAAACCAATGACTGTAATAACAACTATCTAAAGTAAAATTCGACCTAATTAAATTTAAGGTATAAAATTAATTTTTTTTATATAATTTTTGCAAAATAGATAAAATAGCATAAAGAACTCATTTCATAATACCTTTTGTCGCACTCGTCCATTACAAAACTCGCTCCTTCGTCGCTCGTTTTATAAATTGTCCGCGTGCGACAAAATGACGCCTTATGACGAAATAAGTAGATAATTAAATGATTTAAAAAATAATTAAATAAAATCTGTCAGTGTAAAATTTAAAAAAATTAATAATTACTACCCAGTTACATAAGGATTTTAACATTATTAATCACGGAATCAAAAAATTTATATTTTATTTAAATTTATTAATACTTTTTTCTACTCATATTACGGGATATGACCGTTCTAATATCACTGTTTAATGTTAAATGACATGTATTCCTTAAAGTATTACAGAATAGTATATTCTGTAACAAGTTTGGAATACAGCATATTCTGCTCGAATGAAGAGTTTGTCACACGAGCCGAAGGCGAGTTTGACGGATTCACGAGAGCGGAATATGCAATTCCAAACGTGTTTCAGACTATACTTTTTCTACGTTTCCAAAAAAATAACATAGAAAAATAAACCGTCAAACTCGCCTTTGGTTCGTGTGACAAACTTTTCACTCGAGCGGAATATTCCGTATTCCAAACTTGTTACAGAATATTATACTGTTTAAGGTACCACTACTACAGATATATATTTTTTCCTGTTTAGTATATGAAAAAGATTAACTTTAATTGATTATAACACATATTTTGATGTTTAATTAGTAATTAAATTTAATTATTAAATAAATAATAATTAAATGGTATGATTTATAACACTAAAAATTTAACTATTTCGCTTTTTTGAGCAGGTCACTTATTATTTTTTTTTACAATATAATATTTACTTTAAAAGCGATCAGACAAAACCAAATAAATTAATTTTAGACAGTAATAATTATTATTGTCAAAATGATTTAATTCTTTTACATTTTACATATTAGGGGTCCAGTATATAATAAAATAAGGTATGATATTTTTACTCAATCATTTTAACTAGACTCCTATTTTCACAATTTTTTTTATGAATGTGATGGAATTTGCTAATAAAAAATATTGGACTTAGCTTTGTTTAATATTAGACCCCTGATATAACATGTTAAAAAATATTTAAAAATTGTAATATGTGGAAACAGTACTTAATAAAATGGATAATTTTATATCAAAATTATTAGATTTATTTGGTTGTGTTTGATCGCTGCTCTCTTAAGAGAAAATAAAAACTAGGAAAAGTTGATGATATTCCTACCTGTCTGGCAGAGGTCAATCCAGGTGGCACAAAAGTATACCCGAGTTGCCTGGCATCTAATGCGTCCATGTTCGACACAAAACCCAGTCTGGCACGAGCCCCATGCTCTGCCACCACTTCGTGACCGTCTTTCGTGCATTTGCAGTTTTTGCAGGTTTTTCTAAAAAAAATATTTATAATTTATAAAATATATCAAAAGATGTAATATACAGGGTGTTATGTTATATATTAAAATGGGTTGTTTCTTAGGGTCCATAAAGAAGCACCTGAAACTTTTTTTTTCTAAAATCCAAAGACTAAAAATAATTTATAATATATATATATAATAATAATATAATAATTTATAATATATGTATATATATATACATAAATATATATATATATAAATATATAAATGAATATAAATTGTGACAATAACAATTTTTTCTACAACCACTATGTAAAAGTCACTTTTCATGATGGCATCGTTGCTTAGAAAATGAATCTTTTCATTGGCAAGGCAAAACACGAATGTAAAGTGACATTTATGTGTGAAAAGTGACAGGTCTGTGTGAAAAGAAATTGACAGCATCGTTTGACATTCAGCTGTCAAAAAAGTTTTTAGGTTATTTTGTTTTGTATTTAAAAATAATAAAAAATAAAAGGGTCGCAGAAAAAACATTGTGTTATACTTGTGAGAAAAGCTTTCTTCAAACTCGCATGAAAAAGTCGCTTTTCAACACTTGTAGAATCGTCCGAACATTAAGTTGTTAGGGCTCGTATATATATATATATATATATATATATATATATTAGGGTGGGTTTTAATTTTTTTTTTTTAGTTACCATGAAAATATCGTCCAAGGTGACGAAAAAAAAATTCTGATAAAGTTTGAACTCTTAATATTAATATTAAGAGGTGGCTCATCGCGATTTTTTATTTTCCATTTAAATAACACGGGAAAAAAACATTTTTTTGTTTGTAATTTTATTGCGTTTTAACGAATCAGTGAGTTGTAGAAATCAATGCACATTCTTGTAGGGAATTGAACGATCTACAAAAAAGATCTGATATGATGATTTTTTGCTTAGTCAACTCGTTTAAAAGTTATTTGAAGTAAAAGTAAATGAAGACTTTTATAGTTTTTCATACTGTATTACGAAATATTGGCTCAAAAATATGAAAAATCATTTTTTTCGTGAAGTTTATCGAGTGTTCTTCGGTAAAACATACTTTTAACGAAATATCAATAATTGTGAAAAAACGATTTTTTCTATGGGTACTTGATTTTTCAAAAGTAATGACAAAAAAATTAATCATTTTCTTAAAAAATAATAAATATTCTATTTACACTTGACTATTAGGTAATAAAAGTCATGTTTCAATAATTTTTAAATTAAAATAAAAAATGTTATTCCATAACTTGTACTTTTTTCACTATCTTAGAATCAAACATTTGTTGTACTCTTCTATAAATGCAACTCCTCTTACTGCTACATCATTGAGAACGCTAAGACGTTTGAAAAATACTAGATTATCTTGATAGCTTTCATCCTATGTCCAAAATTCTACATTCTTATTGATAAAGTCAATGGGTAAATCAAGTATATTAATTATATATATATATATATATATATATATATATATATATATATATATATATATATATATATATATATATTTACAGCCCGTTCAGAATAAAACCGAATATATCTATATATATATATATATATATATGGGGCGTGGCCTCGCCTCCTTCCAAGGCGCGTCACAGTAGCTTGTGTGATAAACGACACGATGAAAGGTCGAGCAGGTAAGACGACGAAAAATTAAATGATAATAACGCAAAAAATCTCATTAGCGATGCAGGCTATTTGCTTAGCTACTGTGTCGCGCGTTGGAGGGAGGCGAGGCCACGCCCCATATATATATAGATATATTCGGTTTTATTCTGAACGGGCTGTATGTATATTTGATACTTATTGCGAGTAGTTAAAAACCACCGGCAAAAATATCCCAATTGTAACAGGAAAAATTTAGTTTGATTCTAAGATAGTGAAAAAGTACAAGTTATGGAATAACATTTTTTATTTTAATTGAATAATTATTGAAACATGACTTTTATTACTCTACATTACCTAATAGTCAAGTGTAAATGAATATTTTTTATTTTTTAATGATAAATTTTTTTGTCTCAGGTAAAGAAAAAATTTCGAATTAAAAAAAAAATTGAATAAAGGAAAAAACCGTTTTTTTCACGGTTATTGATATTTCGTTAAAATTGTATTGTTTTACCGAAGAACACTCGATAAACTTCACGAAAAATATGATATTTCATGTTTTTGAGACAATATTTCGTGATAGAGTATGAAAAACTATAAAAGTCATCATTTACTATTTGAAGTTGAATTTTAACCTCAAATAACTTTTAAAAGAGTCGACTATGCAAAAAATCATATCAAATCTTTGTAGATCGTTCAATTCCCTACAAGAATATGTATTGATTTCTACAACTCACTGATTCGTTAAAACGCAATAAAATTCCAAACAAAAAAAATTATTTTTCCCGTGTTATTTAAATGGAAAATAAAAAATCGCGATGAGCCACCTCTTAATATTGATATTAAGAGCTGAAACTTTATCAGAATTTTTTTTTCGTCATCTTGGACGATATTTTCATGGTAGCTAAAGAAAAGAAAATTAAAAGTTTTTTTTGGCCCACCCTAATATATATATATATATATATATATAATATATTATATATATACGAGCCCTAACAACTTAATGTTTGGACGATTCTAATTTTCAGAAATATTTACTGATTTCTCACTAAATAAATATTATTTAAAATTAAAATATTTTATTTTTTACACACTTACAAGTCGCATATACTTAAATAAGATTTTATTTAAATAAAAATTGAACAAAAAAATTAAAACCATTAAAAAATTTACAAATTATGTTGGCAACTTAAATAAAAATTGAACAAAAAAATTAAAACAATTAAAAAATTTACAAATTATGTTGGCAACTTAGCACGACTAACGTTTTTAATTTATTGTCATCAAAGTGGCTATGATTTAAGTTAAAGAAGTGTCAAATTAATTAATCTTGTGGCGTTGTTTTATAATGGTCTCTAATTTACCGTGGTAAAAATGGCTCGTGGTGGCTATTTCTAAAGAAATTTGATAAATTTTAATAAAACAGTACCATAAAGGAAAGAGCATGGGAACTATTGGAAAAAATTTAAATTTGGCGAAGTCTACTATAGGAAACATTATAAAATGTTATGGGGAAACCAGTGGATACGAAATTCGGGGTAAAAGTACAGGGCAGCCAAGAAAAGTGTCTCCTAGAATGAGGAGGCAGCTCGTAAGGATTTTCAAAAATAATCGAAGATCCACTTTAATGGAAATAACGGCGATTTTTAACGCAGAAACCAGGCTAAACATTTCGCGAGAGTGTTGTAGACAGTGGATTCATAAATCCGGACTAAGTTTTTATAAGGTATAAAAAATTACTAGTTTTTGTAAAGAATAAAACAAAAATCTATTTAAATTTTTTTAAACTTTATTATTTATCTTATTAAAGGCAAAAGAAAAACCGCTATTAACAAAAGCACAGAAGAAAAACCGTCTAATTTGGGCTAAGTCTAAATTGCACTGGACAGCAGAAGTCGTATTCCTAGGGTCGTATTTAGCAATAAATCCAAATTTGACGTGTGTGTCTACACACGTTTTCTACAATCACCTACAGGTGATTGTATAAAACGAATTATTCGTATTATTATGAAGCATTCCATAAAGACTGTTTAAAAAGAACTGTAAAATTTGCAAAGGGGGTTATGATTTGGGGTTGTATGTCTGGAAAAGGTGTGGGGCATATGGAAATACTAGATTGAATAGTTAATGCAAATAAATATCAACAAATTCTACATAACAGCCTTATTCCCAGTGTAGAAGATCTTTATCCCAATGGTAATTTTATCTTTCAAGAAGATGAAGCATCAAGCCACACTGCAAAAACAACCAAAAAATGGTTTGAAGCACACACTATAAGAGTTTTGTCATGGCCTTCAAGTAGTCCAGACCTCAATATTATTGAAACCTTGTGGCACCGCATGAAAAGTTTTTTAAGAAATAATCCTCAAAGACCCACTAATGATTTGAAGACAAAATTGTCAGAAATATGGGAATATTTTACACCAGATTATTGTAGATCCTAAATGGAATCTATGCCAGCCAGGATAAGAGCTGTTATAAAGGCCAAAGGAGATGTAACGACGTACTAAACGTAAAAAATAAAATATATTAATTTTAAATTTAAATAATATTTCTTGAATGAGAAATGAGTAAATATTTCTGAAAATTGGTATCGTCCGAACATTAAGTTGTTAGGGCTCGTAGGGTGTCCCTTATTTTTATATTTTTTACGCATACCCTCTAATTATATTTATTAGTTGTTTATATACTCCCAGTAAAAATTTCAGCTCATTCTATAAACGGGACCCCGTGCCGACTTGCATCTAAACCCTCCGTTAGCCAACGTTAGGCGCGCGCGGTATTTTGTAACACGAAACACTTTAAAAAGAAGATATACTTCATGACTGTATTTTTCTAATGATTTTATTAAATATGATTACTAATTAATATTATTGCTTTTGTTTTTATCATTTGTTTCACTAATTTAGTTGATTTTATCCCTTAAATATATTAATATACATTAGTATTGCTAAAATTTACTGTTATATGAAATTTCAGCTTTTTATAAGCATTTCTTTTCTTGATGTCCTCCCAAAAATATTTCAGACAGTTTAATAAGTTTTCGGTAGTCATCTCTCATAATAGACTCTTTTATTTATTTAGAGTAAAACCCATTAAGTTTATCAATTTTAGAGTTTACGGCCTATTCACCAGACCCTTCCGGGTAACTAGCCACTCGCTGTGAAAATATACATTTTTATCAAAGTATACACATAAATAAAACTATATTTTAACATTTGTCAATAATTTATAATATAAGGGTCACATAATAACAAACACAAAATGACTTAAGTCGTAATTACGATCAAAGACCCAACCGTGTTACAAAATACCGCGCGACTAACGTTGGCTAACGGAGGGTTCAGATGCAAGTCGGCACGGGTTCCCGTTTATAGAATGAGCTGAAATTTTTACTGGGAGTTTATAAACACGTAATAAATATAATTAGAGGGTATGCGAAAAAATAATAAAAATAAGGGACACCCTAATATATATAAATATAAATATATATATATATATATATATATATATATTTATATATATATATATATATATATTGGTGTTTGGTAAGCAGTGACTTCCGATAGGTTGACGTGGCGCCCTGACCTCCGGTATTACCAGTTATTTTAAACGTATATATTAGGGTGCGTTTGAAAGAGGGGAAGGTCTACAATTCGGTTGTCAAAAGAGGGGAAGCATTTTGTGAAGAATTAAAATGTATATATTTGGAAGCAACTAATATACGAAATCACTTCCGCATATATATGAAAGAGTTACGGTCACGTCGTACTAACTTCCAGCAGTGTTGCCAGATATCAGAAGTTAGATTTACAACTATATTTTGTTAACTTGCGGAAAGAAATCAATAATTTAAATTAAAACCTAATACCTATTTAGGGAGAAACGTACAAAAAAGTATTTTTATTATAAAAATAACTAGTTTTGTTACTTACGTAAAGAAAATTATTTTATTACAAATTATCAAGTGTTCATTAATATTGACAGTTACGTATTTTTTGAAGTTAAGAACATTATCCCTTTCTGCTCAAAGGGGTCATTAATATTCTAGGTCAGGGATGGCGAACCTATGGCACGCGTGCCAAGAGTGGCACGTTTTAAATTTTTTTGGGCACGTTTTGAGAACAAAATTTGTTCATCTTAAGCTAATTTTTAAGTTTAATAATTTGCGTATTTTATTCCAATTAAAACATAACTTATAACTAAACTCCGTAAAATTTAATGTCTATGTTAGCCTAGAATTTTATCTAGGTGTTAAATAGAAACAACGATAAAACTTCTTTGTTTGTAAAGCTTTAATTTATAATCTTGAATGTTTTATTAAAAAGTTTAACGTAAGAATAAGCTAGATTTTGATACCATATAGACTTAAATATCTTGAACAATAATGGTTTTAAAAAGAACCAGGAATTTTAAAACAAAATGGGTTATTTTTATAAAAAACAAAAATGTCATTTTCTTGAAATTTAAAACATAGAACCTTTTTAGTAGTTTAATGCTCCAAATAAAATAATTCTATTTACAATTTTTATGAACATCTATTTTTAAGTATTTCTTCTAAATCGTACGGTACAGATATGATCTAATAAAAAAAACGATTAATTAAAAAAATTTCTAAATAATGATGTACTTTTTTTATAATGTTTTTGTATACTTTCATCTTCATAACACTTATAAAAATTTACATGTGGCACGTTACATTTTGAAATTTTTTTTTAAGGTTTTTTGGCACGGGCCGAAAAACGTAAAAAAAAATATTTGAGATATTTATTTTTGGGTAGTAATAAAAAGTTACCTTATGTTAAAAGTAATTGATTAGAAAAAAATGTAGCGTACTAGCCTATTATTTAAGGGTCCCCCGGGGGACCAAAATATTTTTTTTTGTATGTTTTGACTGGGGTGGGAACAAAAAGTTACCTTATGTTAACAGTAATTCTAGAAAAAAAAAATGAGCGTACTAGCCCAATATTTAAGGGTGCCCCGGAGGCCCAAAATATTTTTTTTTTATATTTTAATTGGGGTAACCACAAAAGTTACCTTATGTTAACAGTAATTCTAGAAAAAAAATGAGCGTACTAGCCCAAAATTTAAGGGTGCCCCGGAGGCCCAAAATATATTTTTTTTTCATATTTTAATTGGGGTAACCACAAAAAGTAACAGTATGTTTAGAAAAAAATAGCCATTCTAGCCCAATATTTAGGGGTGCCCTGGGGGCCCAAATTTTTTTATTTATATTTTAATTGAGATGGCAACAAAAAGTTACCCCATATATTATTGCATAGAAAAACCAAATGTCTGTATCAGTCTAATAGTTTTTTTTATTATTTTATTAAGACGCCTTTTGATAAAACAAATAGCAATTAGCTTGATTTTATTAAATTTAAAAAAGATTATGCGTTACTCTAAATTAATTAACACAGCCACTAACGAAATAAATAAAGTCTTAAAAGAAGTAAATGCTTCAGTTAAAAAAAGAAGTAAAGACTTCAGTTAAATGCCAAAAAAAGTCTTGTAATAAATATTGGTACAGTATACATGATAAATAAATCAAAACAATATAATTTTAATACCATACATATAAATTTTTTTTAGATTTTTTTTATTATTATTATTAATTAATTGGATAGTTGCTCCTAGAGTGCCACCCGCTCCCTCCCACCCAGTTTTTTTATTATTACATAATATTGAGACTTGTTGTCATATAGGCCGGTAAAGATGTCCGCGCATCTATATAACCATTTCTTGCTATCTCACAGCAAATTTTTAATGCAGCTTCTGTTACAAGCTTTACACACTTTTCCACCGCTTGCGTTTGAAAGGGTAACTTGTCGAACCTTATATAGAAGTCGTCTGCTTGACTTATAAATATTTTTAGTTCTTTTATTTTAAAAAACATTTTCAAATTTATAAACATTTTTAACCCTAAACCGCCAAATTTTTGACATCAAATTCTAATATCGGACATTTTTTTTGTAAACATATTGTTAACATAAGGTAACTTTTTGTGGCTACCCCAATTAAAATATAAAAAAAATGTTGGGCCCCCGGGGCA